ATATAGACACTTAAAAGTAGTATATATAATTGTGGAAATGTTGACTCCAAAGGTAAACAAACAGGGCTGAAAATTAACCTCAAAAACATAGTGGCCAGCAGGGCCAGTAAGGAAAAAATTATACTGGCCCTTCCAAGGTTATACTGGTCCTATTTTTTTTACGGTCCAAAATATAATTTTACGAAAAAAACAAAATCAATAAAACCAGCAAGATGACATTGGTGTAATAATTGTTTTTAGCCAATTTGGCAATTGAATCTGTCTTTAGCCAAAATCATTAGTCCGAGAAAAAATCCATTGTATTCACGATCGACACAAGAGTTTTAAAAATGTGATTTTAGACCACATAGAGATTGGCAATCAAAATAACATTATTTGATAGGCAAATTATTATTTTTAGCATACCAACGAGGTACAGTAATTCAAAAGTTTTCTAAATATAACACAAAATTTGAAAAAATTACAAAGGCCTAGGCATAAAGTATTCTCCTTTTAGTTTAGAACGATATCGGGGTGGGGGAGAGGAGATAGTGGAGCACTGAGAAAAGCCTACTTTTGGGAGTTAGTGGAACAATAGTGTCTCCAGAAAACCTGTATTTTATGCATTTTCAGCATAATTATGTATCAGGACATAAAGTTCCAACAAGGATTATTCAAAATTGGCTTGGGTCTGATCGTCTGGAAATAGGCCCAAATGTTTCACTGCAATGATCAAGGATTTACGATCTGGACCTACTGTAGCCTAGGCCTAGTAGTAGACTATGCCTAGCCTTGGCAGATTAAACCGCTACTACTAGGCCTAGGTGCCTACTGCCGTCACTCTGCTCTAGGCCTAGTACCTACACCGTGTAACAGAGCAACCAACGTGGTGCATTCTTAAAATATTACACGCATTACTTAAATGTATTTTACATATCAGGCGAGAACACGAAATCATTGATTAACTAATTATGAATGACATTTCTACCACCATCGCATGCATAGACCTTGATCCTAGGCCTAAGCATAGGTAGTCCTCCATGGATAAACAAGCTCGGAAGTCGTTATGTACCCGACGGTCGGCTACCTTTAGGTATACTTTGTCACTAGTTTGCGTCCAAAGGGTACACTTCCAGCTAGCCGGCTGTCGTGAATATAGTTCTGCATGTAATCGTCATACATGAGGTGATTCACCTTCATATAGTCATACAGCCACTGCCCTTCATCCACCGCGTTAAAATAACGAATAACAAAATTTGAAGCACACAATGACGTTTGCAGCTAGACTGCCAATACAGCAACACAAATAAACTTCGCATGGCTATGATGGATTGGCGAAAAATGGAGCTCGGATGAAAAAATAAAACGATGTATTTTAGCAAGTATTTGAAACTTTTAAATGATTTTAAGCCTTTGCCAAAATGGCTAAAAGTAGTTGGTTATTTTTTCACCAATCCAAAATAGTAAGGGTCGCCAAACGGGGCGATACCCAAGACATTTGTTATCGCCCGACGCCAAAAAAGTCGCCACTGGCGACCGGGCGACCGCTAATTTCTAGCCCTGAACATATGGGTAGAAATGGTACCTAGTGGATATAAAATATCAGAAAAAGAAAATTAGAAAATTAAAATTACTATACTTATTATTGGCTTCTGGGATACAGAGAAACCATTGCCAGTGATTTGCTGTATACATGTATGTAAGTGCATGTGTATACATGTTGCTTTGCGTTAATAATCATGTAAGCTTTAAAAATGTTAAAAAAAAGAAAATAAATCTGATTAGGCTCCTAAGGACCTGCGGCAGCCATAGAGCAGCACCCACTATAGTCAGTACATGAAAAGACAATCCTTTATTCTCTGGGTACACATGTATTATTATACAAGACGCCATTGGCTTAACATCTCATCTGAAGGATGCTGTAACACAGCAAAGGATCTTTAAGTCTGGTATGCACTGTAACAATGTGAGGTGTATGCAAAAGATTGTTTTTATTGACAATCTGCTCAGACTATCTTCAGTGACAATAATTGGAGATGGATCGTCAGTCAATGGTCATATGACATAACTTTAACTTGATATGCCTAAAAACATAACAAAATGAAAGAAAATATTAGCAATAATGTACTGTGTGTGCTTCACATATCATAATGAAACCATATTGTTCCAAGACAAAAACAACTAGTCTCAAATACCAAATGTACCAATGATGTTGACTTCTTAGATGAAGATACCAACAGCTAAAATGTCATTCTTACTGCTGGAAACACCTTGGAAAATAGTGGAACCTCTTTATCAACAAATAACAGAAAGTATGGAGGTTAATAAAACTGACCCACTTTTTGGTAAAGAGGCTAAAGACACTACTTGTGATGTTGACATCTATAGATGAATAATTATCAAGAATATTGCATATACCAAATTTAAAAAAAAATTGTTTGTAAAACAAGATTTCCCTCAAGATTTATCTTGACGTCTGCAAAGCACAAGTCATTTCCATCGTATTGTGTAACTGCAGTAGTTTATACCGCATATAGAAGTTGAATGAATGTATATGCCACATGAAACATGCCATATTTTTATTGTCAAATGTCCAAATATGAAATTAGTATCTAGTTGATGTATATTGTTACAGTGGCACATACAGTATTTTGTTGTCTCAGATTGCAATGCAAAAACTAACTGGAAAATGTTTAGGCATGTTCTGGGAGTGGAGCTGAATACATACCAGCATGAACTGCATTTTTGTCTGCAATGAAAGAATGTAAGGACAAAGGGAGACATGACTATCATCATATCATTCAAATTTTATAGTAGTGATATTAAGGAGCAATTACATGTCGAGGACTGTAGTTGAATGACCTCCTACCCTCCCCCCTCCCTTTCTATTTCAAATTCCTGGATCCACCACTGAAGATAGTGAGCCCAGCATACTTCAGTACCCGGTACACAACCCTCACTAGCCAGCACCATTATCTAACATACAGAGAAAAAATATCAATTTCTTCATTCTCTTAATTTTTTGTATTGTATGAAATACATGTTTTTGGATAAATTTTATGTAATCTCATTACTGTATATTTTATGTATTTACAGGAACTTGATGCTGAAGAAGATGGGAAAAGTAGCAGAACCAAACAGATAGCACATAGGGTATGTTAATGTTTAGTTAGATTGGTATTTGTACCATTATGGAAGTAAAAACCTCTACAAATAAGAGTGAAAGCCCCAGTCAGTTACTCATTGTTTTGTGGAATCATAGACCCTTAGGGTCTGTGATCTTAAGCTGCATTTTGGTAGGCTTTCCGATCCGAAAAATTTGGATTCTGTGAAAATGCAACTTTAAACCTTAGACTGCCAAATGATAAACAAGTCTCAGCCAAAATGGAATCTTCTCATCTTGAGACTTTCAACTGATTGCTGTTGTCATTGTTGATATCGATAATCTTAATGTTATTGTTGTTATTTATTATTTGTACTAAAAACATTCCCTTAGCCTGTGTCAATAACATTAACTTGCCATTCTTCATTTGATTGTGTGAAATTGTAATTAGATTTAGCCATCTGCCAATCAGTTGGGATATAACTTCTCAGTGTCAATATCATATGTAATACTGTACCATGTATACATTATCTGAATTCATAAATTTAGCCAAAGGCCAAGATTTTTATAGTTGTGCTACTAAATTTTTGTTACTTAAAGGTCACTTGAAGGTTAATTCTGTGTTGCATTTGTGTTTTCTATATTCAGGAAATACACACAACTTGAGGTTATAGTGTCAGTATAAACGTGTTTTTGCCCTTCATTTAAACTACTTTCGTTTAAGTGAAAGGCTTATTAGAAAATCTAAAGAAAATATAAATATTACTTCAATATATTGTTCTAACTCTGTGTTCCCTTCTTTGACCAATATAATGAATAGATCTTTCAATTGTTTTGAAACCCTATTTATGTTGCTATTTAATTTGTGCATTTGGCAAATTGTGACGATAAGAAGAAAATGCCTAGAGGCCAAGATTGTGCCAAATTTACTTGAGCGTTATTTCTCTAATTGCGTATTTTTACTGAAAAACTGTTCTCTTATCATTAGTTGATTATCGGAGTAGCAAGACAAAAACCGCATTGCAACTGCATTTTGACTCCACATGAAACGGTTACCAGATTGACATCTCTACATTAACATGACATACTGTACAATTAACCAGAATGCAATTTAAAATGACCTTTTAAAACAAAACAAAAAATATTTCCGCGTGACTACCAAGATAAATAATGATGATTCGTCTTGTCATCAGAATACAATGTCGATATTCAAATAAAAAAAATGGTTAAGCTTTTGTTCTCACAGTAACAATTTAAGAGGATAATCCATTGTGCTGTGAACAGAAGCTTAACATTTGTTTTATTGATTCCTACTAGTAAAAATAATAATAATTTATTGGGAAACTACACTTTTGAAACAGTGGCACACTTCACATGATAAAGGTGCGTCCAAAAAATAATACTTCAAACAGAATACAATACACTGATGAAAAGAAAGTATAAATTGATAAATTGAGTAACCGTCACTCAAGCATTTGACAAGCACCCCACCCCCATCCCTTACCTACCCTCATCAAAGTATTATATGCAATGATGCCTTTTAATAGTCATGTCAATCCCCTGAGTGACCCTTGTATTCAATTAAAAGTAAATATAATATATAATATGAAGTAAACAAAACTTAAAACTAAAAATTCAAAAGCAGGAAAATCAATAAAAAAAAAAACCCCCTTATTAGCAGAAACGATATTATAAGTACCCTTATTCCCTCCCCAAACTATGCATTTACCCCCGCCCCTAAACCTAAGCAACATACATAAAATATAGTAATGCAGAAAAGAAAAGCAACTAAATGAAATTGAAAACAGAGGTGAACTGTATAGCAGTATTATAAAGCGTAGTTAGAACATGGAATTCAAAATCTCGTTGTGGAATTTCCATGCTCTTTTGGTAAATCTTTTGCAAAACTTGTCGAAGATATTTTCATTCTTTCTGCTAAGCAACGATGAACAACCCAAAATATGATGTAATTTTAGGTCATCGTTTGCATTAATAAATTCATTATACAATTCTATATTGTCAAGTAATTTTGTTTTTAATTTAGAAATTTCATCAATATGTATATTTTGTAGGGCTGGGCAGACTAAGAGGAAATGTCCAGTATTTTCGTCTGCATTTAGATTGCACAGGGTACATTTTTCATTATTATTTGTGGACCAATTTGATGTTCTGGAATTTAATGGTAGCGTATTTGATCTAAGTTTAAATTTCAATGCAACCCCCTTAAAGTCTGTTTTATCAATAAGGTAATGTAATACAGGATGGGGTGTTAAGGATGCATAAACTGAGAGGGATGATTTGTTTTGAACATCGTCTCTCCATTGATTATTCCAAATGTCATCCAATTTTCTTAAAATAAGCGTTTGAGAATAACAACATCCCTTGTTATTAAGTAGTGCATTGAAAATATCTTCAGACTCGCTTCTTATCAAAGTATCATTCATACAATATAGAAATTTATATCTTAAATCTTTAAAATCACAATTGAGTTGTAACATAGCAAGAAGTAGAAATTTGGGCCAACGATGTGTGCTCATTTCAATTATCCTGCTGAAGAATTTCACACGGGCAATTTTATGTAGCTCATTGATGGGAGACCATCCGAGTTCCCCATATAATGCAACACAAGGTGTGTTCCTAGCTGCTTTAAGTATATACCGCGGCATTTGAAGTTGTAAGCTTAAAGTACACCATACAGAACAGCCGTAATTTAAGGAAGGAAGGGCAACTAACCGCCACAGAATCCCTCCATAGTAAACTCTGTTAAAATTGTCAAAGTTACTAATAATTGATTTTATTATGCAATTAATCTTTGACCTTTTTGGATGACATTATCAAATTACATATGGTCATTTAATTTCTGTGATATAATTACACCCAGATATTTGTAAGATTCTGCTTCTGTGATATAACCCTCCCCTAATTTCCATTTCTTTTCTTTATTAACACATTTTCCCATAACCAAAACATTTGACTTGTCAAAGTTAAAATTTAACTTCCATTCTTGTGCAGATTTGTCTGCAATGTCCGTAACATTTTTTCCATCTCATTTTCAGTGTTAGCTAAAAGCACAACATCGTCAGCCCAAAATAGGCTACTAACCCATACATCATTGATTCTGGTGCCAAGATCGTTTGACTTTAGTATTTTCGTAAATTCATTATAATAAATATACTAAAAAGTACAGGGGATAATACACATCCCTGTTTCACCCCTTGAACAATATCAAAAAAGTCTGTGTCAATTGATCCAAACCAAAGCTTTCCCTTAACATTTTCATATAATTTATCGATAACTCTCCAGACCTTACCCCTAATACCTGATCTCCAAATTGCTTTCATTAAACCATCCCTCCAAACACTATCAAAAGCTTTTCGAAAGTCCAAGAAGGCAATATAGTTGTTTTTCTTTTGCTGGAGACAGCAAGCAGCTATAATTTTCAGAGTAATATGTGGTCCTCACACCTCTGTAAAGGTCGAAAGCCTCACTGGACTTCCGAAAGGACATCCTATTTCAAGATAAGTTGAAATATTTTTGGCAAGTATTCTATTAAAGATCTTGGACATGCAAGAAGTCAAAGATATGCCTCTATAGTTATTAAGATCTTTGCAGTCTCCTTTCTTGTGAATAGGGATAATAACACTGTTATTCCATTCCTTTGGTATTTGTGGCAAAGACAAGCCAAACCAGTCACTCGTCGCAAATCTTGTTTTGGAGATAATAGCCAAAACATGCTGGAATGTCAAAATTTTGGAAATCTATTTTATTGCACTAAACTAACCTTTATATATCTATACATCATGCTATGCTGTTATTTTCCTCATTTTCAATGTTAAAACAACAATTTTTAACGATTTGGTGATGGTTTCTGCCTAAGAAATGCCTGAAATCATAAACTTTAAAGGCTGATTTCTCAAATATTGTTCTTTAAACAGATGAATGTTTAAACTCGTGTAACTTCATAACGAAGTGTCTAATTTAAATGATTCTTTCACCATTTTATAGCTCTCATTTTACTGTTAAACCCTGTAGTAATAACTAAAAATTGATTTTTTTCGACGAGTGACTGGTTTGGCTTGTCTTTGCCACATTTGTTCTAAATATATAATTCTATTAAACATTTCTAGTAAGGATTTGGTAAGCATACAACACCCATTTTTAATTAATTCATTTGTTATGTTGTCTAATCCCGGAGCTTTGTTGTTTTTTGCAAGTGAAATTGCTTCATCTGCAATATCATAATCAATTAAAATTGTATACAGAAAGCTACAGTCCCTACCGTCTTTACAAGGAAGTTCATTTGAAAGCACTTGTCTAATTTCTTTAACAAAGCGAGCTGTTGAGGTCCATACTTGCTTTTCCAAGATTTTCCCAGTAATTGTTTACTGCACTATTTATTGAAGCTTTATCAACAATAATTTCGTTATTTATGTTGCAGCTAAAAACTACCCCATGAAGAACGGAGTAAAATACGGTTCTTTGGCACTCCCGTTATGGTATTGATTTCATGCCAACCGTTATTTGGAATGCCATAATGAACGATTCTTTTTTGGGGGGTCCCTGTTTCTACTGCTACAAATAACCATTCTTAAAAAAAAAATGGTTCTTAAGAACAGTTCTTTCTTGTCAGTATGATTACTCAAGTGTTTATTTAGGGTTCAAAAGTGTTGCTCAATATTTGCTCAATGGCTACTTTACATTCACTTAATATTTAGATGAATGAAATGAGAAAAGTACCACCCAATCATTGTTGATGACTTAATCAAATATTTTTGCATCAAATTTAAATTCAATTAATCAGGTTTGCCAACGATTTCTTCTAGTTTGTTTAACCTTTGATAAGTGCAAGTAACTGTTGAATATTGTTTAACTTATGATAATGATATATCAATAGATTTATAATGCTTTGGCATCTACAGCTTTATATCATCTCCATTGGCATGTTTATGTCTATAGTATGGCATATGGGAAAGAAGCTTGCCTCACTGCATATATCTTATTATGTTTATGCTAGGCCATGCAGTGTAAGTTTCTGTTGACCACAGCTAACTGGCAAAGGAAATCAGAACTAATGATATTATAAACAGTGGCGGTGTAACTCAGTCTATTACTTTACCCTGGTGCTCTGGGTCCTGGTAAGTGGAGTGGGGTACAGCGGTTTTGAACTTTTAAGGGTGTGTTTTGATATTTTTTTACACCTGCTTTTTAAAATGCCCCGCTCGTCCGATTTGGGGAAAAAATAAAACCAGTGTGAGTCCCTACTTGCTACACCAACAATTATAAACAAAAATATTTGGAAGTAAGTAGGGGTGACAAGAAATTAAAGACAGGGTTACTAATAATGTTACCGTTGATTCCTTACAGCAGCGGAACCTGAAACAAAAGTTCATTAGCTTACTGAAGCGATTAAAGGTTGCAAGTGATGAAAGTGACACGGACCAGTATCAGTTCCCTGGACAAGCTGCAAATGCGGATGATGATTCATTATATGGTGATCTTGATGAGTTGAATATGAGTGACAGCGAGCCTGATGTTGATCTAGATGATGTCAGTATTGAATCAACGCCTAAACCTGTTTTAAGGTAACCATAATATTTGGCTGCAACATTTCTGTGACAATTGGACATAATGTATTCCTGGCTGCAAGCAACAGTAGACATTTTTATCATAATTTATATGAATTATATTTACAGATAGTTATTTTTCCAGTCCAGTCCAAGTGGTAAAGTAATATTTAAGGGTCACTATATTAAATATTGTGAGGCACAATAAACTTACGGTATTGCAAGGCTTACAGAGATCATATACCTTCAACGCAGTTTTATCTCTGCCTCGGTTGTTCTTTGGAATGACTTTCCAAAGATTCGACAAGCGACTAACATCAACAAATTAAAACAACTTGAAACACATTCTTTTAATTTACCGGTATATTTTGCTGAATTTTGGATTTTTATTTCTAATTTAAAGCTTGTTGAGGCTTTTAGCAAAATGCGCTCAATCAAGATTAAACCTATTATTTTTAGTATTATTATTAGTTGTTTTCCAATTGTTTAGCTTTATACCAGCTTAATTAAAAACAATAGCAGCAACTGTACAGGGTTATAAAACTTCTTAATAATGTGTTTTTATTTCAATTTTTTAAAAATATTCTACCACATTTGTTTTCTCAGACCTTTCTTCTCACAAAATATTCCCACGTCTGTAACTGAGGCAGAAGTGATGGATATAGTGAAAAGGAAGACATCGGAGAATGGATTTAACCAAGAATCTGAGGTTTGCATACATATATTTTTTTGTGTTTACTTGTGACCCGGGAGAGTCTTGATTTTTCTAATTGATTGTGCTGTGGTCCATTGTAAAACAGGATATTTAAAATGTAACATAGAGTGTAAATTTAAGTGGGTAGTCAGCCAAATGCTTTTCATTTTCAGACTTAGAAAGATTGATTGAGCTTGAATTAAAATTGGCCTGATCTAAAGGAAAAGGCATGACTTCTCAGTTGCGTCCTACAGCACTGATGTTTAATCTTAAAAGAATGGCTGCTAGCTGGTACTAGTGATATATCTTGTTGGTGAAATTCATTAATTACCCATTGGTTAAATGTCTATTTAAGTAATTGTTTATGATGACCAGTAGTTTAAAAGGAGCTTGCCCATCTTTTTGTTTTAAACAATGAAAATGACATTTACCTTTGACCTCTGTGAACACATAATGATTTATGTGCATGTCAGATCAGCACACTTGACTGCATTTTGCTATCTGAAAAAAATGGAATCGGGTTGTAGCAAGATACTTGTCTTCACAGGCCCGTAGGCAGCTTCAGGCATGGGGGGGGGGGGGTTAGGGTGATTCATTGAGGGTTTATTTTACATAACATAGCCTAGTATGCTAAACAATAACCAAGATACACGAACGGCTGTGATAAGAAAAACAGTTGCTATTAATCAATTATTATGAGGATCCTCTAGCCTACTACTACCTAGGCCTTAATAAGACGAAGTAGTAAGTGTAGGCCTAGCCTAGAGCCCTAGGCCTATAGGCCTAGCCTAGGCCTATTATTTAGTAATCAAAGTAGGCCCTAGCCTACAGTAGGCCTATGGCCTTGGCTATAGCCTAGGTTAGGCCTAAGTTAATTATTTATATTACTCATGATAAGACATTATAATATTCGATCGAGGCACTTGGATATTCATTGTTTTACCATTCATAACTAAAAGTAATCTAGGCCTAGGCAAATATTTACCATGTACAAATTCGCGCCACTGTTTATGGATCGTTCAACAATGCTACCATTCGAAGGACAAGAGGTGAAGAGGAGAGAGGGGAACCTAAGTAGCTTGGCTACTTAGGCCTAGCCGCGCAGTACCTGTCACACCTACCTCATATTTTGAGACTTCTTCGTCGTTGGCGTCTTCGAGAAGAAATCTGTAATCCTTTCCCGACGCTTCATTTTTTTGGAAACAAATAAACAAATTAGAGACAAGTCTTTTATTTTTAAAGGTTTTTGTCTTTTCCTACGTGTGGTGTAATGAACGTCTGTGTGTGTGTCAGGAAATTCCAAAAAGCGCGAAAACTCCCCTCTAGTTGCGATCGGGAAACTTTATTCCCGAAATAATATAACGCCGCATGATTGGTTAACAGGGGCTTGACAAGACTCATAAATATTCACACTTCGCACTCTTTGATGATCACACACTCACTGCCTCAGAAGCACGATCTCTGCTGGTGATTTTTGTTTAGATTTTGAGTTGCAAAAAAACGAAGGATGCACAAAAATAGCAAAGGGGTTCGTTATTGGTAGGGTGGGGGGTTCGTTTTTCAAAGGGGGATTTTGCTGAAAAAGGGGGTTCAGTTCGGACGAACCCCCAGGAACCCCCCTGGCTACGGGCCTTCTTCCAATCCCAGTTAACCTCTGATTCCAGAGTACTTAAGAACAAGAGAGCAGTACAATCTGGAAAAGAGTAAAGGGATTGTCTCTTGTGTACTGCAATATTGTTGCTGGTCCCACAAACTGGCAGTGTAAAAACATACGTACTCACATGCATTCATGAGACAACATGTGCCGGTAGAACACGTGTGTATTCCTGGCCCTGGTTTGGTCGGCACCCCAGCAAGATCCATTAACCAACAGAAGGACCCCACTGGAAAGAAGTCTTCAGAGTTTAGTGCGTTTATTTTTGGTGCTTACACTGATTGAATCCAATCCTATCCAATGTTTAATTCAATTTGCCATGGATTTGGTTGCATAAGCAATGAATTTTATACTTATTCATAGACTTTGGGTAAAGTTACATGTTTTCAATCTGCGATGAGAGTTCAAAAACGTTACAGTATGCAAACATTAGATGAGGACGAAACAAATACTATCATATTGATATTGATAAGGTGTTATAAGAGGAGATATTTCACAAATAAAAATGTAATTGAATATCTATATAAATTAATTTTTATATGTTCAATAAAACAGTGATGTGGCTTTTCTATATATATTGGTCATGTTTATTTTAAATTATTTTGTTAATGTGTTGAATGATGATTCATATGGTAATGTCTTTCTCTTTTATTAAATTGTAAAATGTATTATTTTTATGATGTTTTGTATTTTTTAATTCCTCAAATAGGATACTCCGTCAGACGAGAGCTTACAGCTTAATGAGCAGCCTCCTCCCAAGTCGGTTTCCGTGGGAACCCTTGCTCTATCATCATCTGGCGGAGCCAATGGTGGACAAAAGAACATCAACAGACCTAGGTCATCATCTAATAAGGAAAAACAAGGCCAGAGACAAACCCACAGAAGCAATAGTCTCAACTACTCGGATCATACTCAAGAGGTTTTACTTTATATCTTCTTAATATTTCCTTAACAGTTGTTCTGTGTGTGTCTGGTCATAATATGTTATTAGTGGTACTGTCTGGGTCTATAAGCTCTTATCTGTTGCTAGTAAAAAACAGATGTTACATTAATCACTAAAATATCTAAAAGAAAAAAAATGAACCTAAAAATACCCATCTCATTCCTAAGTGCTTCTTAAGGATGCTTAAATCGTGCAATCTTAAACATTTAAAACAAGAATTTGTATATATTGTTCCTCAAAATAAACATTTGAGGCATGTTGTGGCAAAATGGCTAAGTTGTAGCAAAAATTGAAATTCAAGTTATTGGTAATTTCAGATACCTGAGTATGTGATCTTTAAAATGAGAGGTCATTCATTAAAATTGGACATTTCAAGCCTAAGTTATTGGAAAGTGAATAGTATTCTTAGAATCAAGATAAACATGTTTTGGAGTAATTGCCTTTCAAAGTTATTTGTGCATACATTGTTTAATAGAATGATCAGTGAAAATAACAGTAAATAAACAATTTCTTGACCACTTCCAGAACTAATACTTTGGTACATGATTAATAAGACATTAAACTGTTGATATATAATGAAAAAAAAATTTGGATTTTTAGGCAATTTTTTTAGCCCCCATATTTTATAGCTCATTTACTCAATACTGGCCTTTGCGACAAATTAACCATTTTTCCACGCCTGCCTCATTTGTTATATGTCAAGTGTTCACAGTATTCTTTATATATTTCCAATATAGATTGATTGGAATACATAATTTTTTATACTTTTAAGCTCTGTCCTCACTCTTATATTTTATGTGACAAATAAATGGATATGCCTATATTTGGTTGCAATATAATATCAAACCATATATGGGAACATTGTAATAAATTTGTGACTTGAAATTTAATAGTGTGGACAGAGCTTAACTCCACTTCGTATAAAGCCCTGTCCACACTATCAAATTTTCTTTGACAAAAAACTGCTTGATGCCCATATATAGTCATGATGTGCCTATATATTGTCATGATGTGATGTCATCATGACCATATTTAGGCATGTCACCTGTTTTTGTGACATACAATTTGATAGTTTTGACAGAGCTGTTAAACCAGTCTTGTCATTTCTGGCCCTTAGTCAGTGGATTGATTTTTCATCTTTCCTGTGTATGTTCATGGGATTTCAATTCATGACTAGCAGCCTAATTTCTTAGTCATACTCTATTCAGCTACTGTGTGTTGTGCATCTAAAAGCACAGTGTTGTAAAGAAAAATAAGTATTTGTTTATTGATAGAAGGACTACAATAGGCTGTATAGTTAAATGTGTTATATTGGTATTGAAAATTATTGTTAAAAATTATTTTTATTTATATCTGGTTTTTATGGCCTATTGTTACCATCATTATTGATGAGATGGTAATATATATTAGTGATCATTATTGATGAGTGGTCATCCCAAGATCTTTTAAAACTAAGATGATAAAAAACCCTGTTATTGTTGTATGAAAAATATTTTTTTTTTAGTACAACATTAACTTTCATTTCAATGTTAAAAACAATAAATGTAAATGATTGGTTTTTTTTTAGGAAGCACGCAAGTCCCTTGCTGATAGGTTGTCGTTACTTTGGCCTCATAATGATTCTATACCAGAAAAGTTTATACTAGTAAACGCAACGGAGTGGCAGGGTCAAGTAAGTACTCTGCTATTGTTACAGGTGCACTCTATGTAACTCCTATTACAATCATAAATTTTGTTTTTCTCATGCATTTAGGCTTCATTTTTCACTGTTTCTTAAGTTCTGTGGAAAAAAAATACAACTAGTATAGGTTTAAAGGATTCAGAGTTATATTTATCGTATACTGAAGCAGCAGGATAATACAGAATAATGTTTCTCCATTATATCATATCCTAGGCTATTGCCCAGGAAATTCTGGTATGTAAAAGATGTAAAAGTCGTTGGTGAAACAGGGAGTGGGCTTACACTTGAGGATCTCCAATAAGATTCTTACTTGCTTTTTTTTTTTATTGAATGTATCTTCAGGTTCTCTCGCACAAATTGCAGCAGGAGAAACATAGAGTAGTGTGTACATTTTCAAGTGCTGATGTGGAAGACACAATGCTATTTTTAGTCACTAAAATACAGAAATTGTAAGTAAGAGCTGATAATTGCTTTGCTGCTCTACAGGTGGTATGCATTATTGAGTCTTGAGGTGTTCTATTTATAGCTATTTCTTAATCAAGGCCGTGTATTTCATGTTCGTATGCTATATATTTATACACATGACTGAGATATGAGACTGTTGTTGCTGACAGTGGACATGATGACAATGGCTTGATGAGATTTGCAGTTGACAGATACTTTGCAGTTGACAGATGCTAGTTGTTCCAAGTTCCGAGTCTGTTGACTTGTCATATAATGTTGGTTACATCAAAATAATTTTGATTGCCTTCAGTTTGTAGTGGAGTATCAATGCTGATGACTTTAATATTAGATTAACAATTTCCCTTTAATGGGCAGATGTTTAGTTCATTTGTATAGGTTTTGTCGTAGGAAAGTACATATGTGACCGACTCTAGAAATGCCAGGCTCTTGTCATTAAAAACAAATGTCTTCAAATCAGCTAAAATTCCTATCTTAATGCGTGTTGGACTGAAATTATAAATTATCATATTTTTGCCTGTTTTCATAAACTTTTGCATCAATTATTAGCTTTAGATTACGAAGATCAATGTCATTTTTCAGTTTTCCAGAGAGCCTGTTTTTGCTAGAGTGAGTTACATATATAATTAGCATTTAATCAGTTTAAACTAATAATAATATTTTATTAAGTGTAACTAGTAGTAATAATAAGTAACTTGTTTCGTCTGTCTATGGTGAATTTTATCAAATAACCAGATGAATTTCTTCTAAGATATAACAACAATGATGTACTATTATCAATAAAATAGATTTGCATTTATATAGTGCTTATAATTTTCTATTCTTTTTAGCTGTAACCAAAACCCTAAGGTTCCTCGGACAATCAAGCTGGTAATATGTGGTGGAGAAGGGTATGTTGGTACCATTCTCAGGCCGTATGTTGAACAATTCTCAACTAAATCCCCTGACTGGCAAAAATATGTTAGCTTTTACATCATTCCTCTAGGTAAGTTGAGGTTAACAATACACTATGAAAAAAACCTAAAAATTGATTAAATAATAAAACTTGCAATTTGGGGCTGAAAAGTGCATGACCACAGAACAGGTGGTTGGAGGCATGACACATTTAAAGTATCTTTAGATAACCACTATTGAGATATGTACAAATAAAGTTTGTTGATGGAAGCATTTTATAAAGGTAATTTTCATGGTTGGAGAAACACAATATTATTTTCTCCAGGTCTGGTACAAATGTTGCCAAAGAAGGCAAAGTGCCTAATAAAAAAGTTAGATCACAACTGTAAATTGCAGTGTAGACTATTACTTTATCATCTGTTACTTCCTTCACCGGCGTCTTGTAGGATTCACATTCTTCCTCTCTTTGCTGTTACTGTATTTCAACTAATTGAAAGAAGTCATTGACATCTGGTTACCTTGAATACAGTGAATCCCAGTAAATTATTTGAATAGACACTAATAATTATTTATGTCTGCTGCATATTGCCATGCATTAAACTATTATGTTTTATTGTAAAAAAATATCCCCTCCCTGTACATTTCGCTTGTGTCCTTGAGCAAGGCACTTTATCTGCATTGCTTCTCTCTAGCCTAAAAAGAATCGCTTTTTATCTACAAAGAAAAGGTGCTATATAATGACATAAATAATAATAATAACATTAATAATACATCTGTCGAAATAAACTGTTTTTGTCGTAATATATGAAATTTGATATATAATTTCAGGAAATTCATCTCTGGGAAAGTACTTGGGTGCAATTGACAGTAAATATCACTCAATGTTTGTAGAGCCTTCATGGAGGGAGTTGTTTGATAAAGACCAACAAGGTTTGTATGTTGCTGAAAATTTATTTATTTCAACTTTCTTTCTTCTTGATGGCACTCTCAGTGCACTAGTTTTTTGTTTTTCAAATAAAATTTACATAAATATACAAGAGAGATCAATTGAAAATGAATAATGTATGAGAACTTTAACAAAAAGGAATTCTAATTACAAAATAGAGGAGAAACCAATGAATTAAGTGAGATCTTTTTTAAAAGTATATTGATAGAAATTCTGGAAATCCCTAGTTATGTTGCTAGGTAGTTCGTTCCAGTTCATAGATGCTTGATAATGAAGGTCCGTTTTCCTTGACATATGTTTCATTGTGGAACTAAAAGATGATTATTTATATGACCAAGAATAAGTCCAAGAATGTTAAGACTAATAGTTGATCTTAAAAAAAGATCAATTAATAAATTTTCATTAAATTACCTTTAATTTATTGTTGCATATATTAAATATTGATTTTGAAGAAAGTAATAATTTCACACTATTTATCCAATCAATTAATACAATATTTTGTTTCTGAAATTGATAAAAATAAAATTTCACTCTTTTAATAATTCTATTTTAATTAAATGTAAGATACAACCAACAACTAATTGGATGGCCAACACATAAACACATTGGTGTACTCTGCATGCAGTCAGTTGTGGTATGCGTAATTGGTTGCTGTGGTTATAACAATTAAATTATTCATTAATAGGAAGTAATAGTTTCACACAATCTATCCAGTCAATTAATACAATATTTTGTTTGCTGAAATTAATCATAAAAATATAAATTGGACCATAATAATTCTTGTTTAAATGTTGACATAAATACAACCATCTATATTTCTATTTCTAATTGTATGGTCAATAGAAAGCATACCGGCTTACTCTACATGCAGTCAGTTGGGGGTATGCATGATTGGTTGTGGTCATAGTAATTAAATTACATCATTAATTCATTAAACAGAAGTTTTTGTCAAGTAACTTGCTGTTCACAAAAATTATATTTGGAGCATATGATTAGGTGTTAATACTCACACTGAAATAGAATAACCATTTCATTATTATTGTTGTTTTTATAAGTATTATTATTGCTGTTGCTGCTAATATTGTTCTTACGAGTGAGTTTTAGATCTGCATCGTTGCCAGGTATATGCACTTGCAGAATTATATTTATAATGTTTTGTACGTATTCGAGTATATTAATCTTAATTGTGAAACCCAACTCTGAATCTGCCATTGTTGAATTGTTATTCTGACCAATGAGAAACAAACTAACAGTTGGAAGCAACAACTCATTCGAAGCTGTCACCTCTTGATGCGCTTATGCATCATTGCAAGTGGCAATATCATTCACAACGCAACCTAAACTATATGTCTCATTTTGAGGCATAGGTAGTGATTTGTTTCTTTAATTGTGGAGAAAAATCCTGTGACTTTCTCGAATCCAGGACTGAGTGGGATGGGAAAGTAAGCATTTTACCATCAAGTGCAGCTCCTCTCTAATATTTTTTTTTAACAGAAGCAAATGGAATTGTGAGTAGAGTGTCCAAGTACTTGAGCACGGCCACGTGCAACCACCAGCTTCGCATCGGAGAAGTGATGGTCAACTATAAACTGAAGAGTACAGGCACAGAATCAACTCAGAAATTTATTCCATTCATCAATGTAAGTTTCTACATTTTACAAATCATTTTAGATGGTTTGAAGATGGCAGGTATAATAATATGTACTGTTGGGCTTACACTCATTAAATATGGGTTGGTCAAATGAATATTACGTTAGTTGTCATTACAAAATAAGTTGTGTTGTGTGCTGTGTCCGTTTAATGTATTCAAGGATTTTTTTTTGTCATATTTTGACAAAAAGTTTTTGAGAGAAATTATTCATTGATGTTAATTTTTTTTTTTTTTTTTTCGAATCAACAGAGTGTTACAATTGGTGCTAATTCATCTACTGTACCTACGTCATTTTCAGGTAGGTTAAAGAAACTAGTGGATACATTTATGATATCGTGAAGAAATAGGGTTACATTACTGTAATTTCAATTTCACATACTTGGTAAATAGAAACAAAGTACAATAACGAAATTTCAAAATTCAAATTTATTCAATATTAGAACTTCCCTAATAATTTATGAGCTTGTGAATTAAAATATACTGTTAGCCAAAAAACCTCATCAACCAACTTTTTTATATATCTGTATATTAAAATGGCTACTTGACTACTATAGATAATGACAAATATTGTGTTTTAGTAACTTTTTAATGTGAAACTGCTTTTGTAACTTGATGCAATTCAGTAATTTTATACTGCTATGTCAGTGTTTTTGAATAAACCAGAAATGATTGAATGAATGTTGAAGATGACATTGACAATATAATCGATAATGATTGAGGATGATTGTGACATTAAATTAATGATGCCAATTATGGAGTAGGATGATATTGTAGCCAACATGTATACTATTCTATTATTTTTTTTGTTACCTATTTATTTTGAATATTTATATTATTTTAGCATGTTTTTAGTATTTATTATGATAACCATTTTTTAAATATACAGAGCCTGAAGACAGCTTTTCACCCTTGTCAACAAGTCCGAAGGAGAAAGATGGACCAACGCCACCATCAAGTCCAGCCACCAACACAGACGCTGTTGTACAACAGAGGTAATAGGTTCTTCCATGATCTCTAATACTTTGGGTACATTTTGATCCTTTGATTTCACTAATATTTTTTATTTATTTATTCTGGTATAGCAGCAAATAGCTGAATTCGGTTGTATTACATAAATATAGAAATATGGAAAAAATGTAAAATAATTAACAAATACTGTTCATTTTTAATGTTAACAATTATCAAATTATGCAACACAGAACATTAAAATAAGACATTAAAATAAATTCTTATTATTACCAAGCATGTATAAATGCTTTCTTACTTGTATTCATTATCAAATTATTATTAAACAATTTACCAAACATATAAAGTCTTATTACAATTCACAAAAAAACCCAATTCACAATGTGCAACTGCACTGTTACACTTTTGTGTGGCAATTAATCTAACATTTCTTTTAGTCTAACAGAAAAACATCTAACATATTTTAACATTTTTTTATTTGCTAGAGTATATTAACATACTGTCAGTGTTCATTTTTTTTTAGTGTCTATATCCATGACACTATAGCTAGAGCAAAATTAATAGTGTCTCCTTTAAATGGGTTGTTAACAAATTGCATTCAACAAACACTCCTGTTACTGATCGGGGAAGTGAATTAATTCTCTACATTGCTTGATTGAGTTTATTTGATATACAGCAACATTATTTGAACATACAATTTTAAAATATAAAAACTGAACATGGCAATCATCCTTAATTATTTAAAATTATGATCAAAAGATGTGAAATGACAAAGGGTGATGTTTATATGCAGATATATAGCCCACAAAGTCTTTAAAAAAACCACTTATTTCCTATGGAGTCCATTATTCCTCTGTAAAGCTTGTTAAAAAATGTCCTACAGGATAATTTAACCTTAAAAAATGTTAGTTTTTTTCTATTAAAAGTTTTATACTGGAGTAGAAATATTTTATTTTTTAGGACATTGACATATTGATATAGATTAAATTCATTATACATATCTTCTAATACAGTAATGGGTCTTAGCTCCTTTAATTGATAGAAATTATTGGACATTTATTATCGCGTATCTTGTAATATGCATATTAATTATTTGTAAATGAGAATTGTTAATTATGTTTGTTTTTTATGTTAAGTAGATAATTTGTGTTCTTTCATTTAGATTGCCTATCAATGTGTCTTAATTTGATGTAATATCAGCATGATAATTGTTTATTTTACCCCTCTCTGTTTTGTCTGCATGTTTTTATTCCCTCAAAAGGAGAGGTTCGCTAATTGAAATCGGAAGGTAAAGATAATGATCATGTTGAAAAAATTGATAATTTTTTTCTCATTTCAATTGCATGGTCCATGCCATTGATAAAGTCCCATTGAAAGCACTTGAATTAAACATTGTATGTCTCAATATCTATTTCCATATTCATTTAACATTTTTAAAAATAATGTTTGTCCTTTTTGCAATTTTGTTTCATAATCACTTGAATCATTTATCATATGATCACATGCCTGTTCAGCCTGTTCATGCTTTGCATTCATTTTTTCTTTTTTTGTTCGTTTGCAAAAACAACTAAGCACTGACCTTCTTAAATTCTCTGTCAGATTATTTCTGCTTCTTCTTGATTGGTGTGATTTCTAAAGGATTTCACCCAATAAATGTTCAATTAAAAACAAATTAAACCATAGACCTATACAATACTATTGCAACATTTTCAAATAATATGATTTTGTGTTGCATAATAGACTGCTAAGCTCCGCCCTTTGATGTTGTTGCTAAGGTTCCATAAATTTGTTATTTCGATGTTCTGCAAATTGACAGCATATGTACATCAACATGTGTTTGTGTTACATAATACATCTTTTTTTGGCACTGTTCTGAATGGCCAGCTGTTGAGTTATAATTTATTGACACTTCGAAAAATCCATTAATTTTCCAGTACAATATAATTTTTAAACACTTTAATGCTAATATGTTTATACCAAATGTTTGCACAGAATGTGAATTCATGCGTATCGTATTAGTCTGTAAAAACTTGAAGCTAATATTATTCAAAGAAAATTGTTAAAGCATTTTTTGATGATGTAAATCTTTTTTTTTATTATTGATTTTGTTAATAAATGTCCCACTTATTTTATTTTCTTTATTTCCTTAACATATTATTAAGAAATAGATGCAATACTTTTAATTTTTTACTGTTGATTAGTATTCTTCCAAAATGTTATAGGACAGTCATATACTACCATTGATCATTTTGTACAAATGTGCAACATCAATTACTGAGAGGATACCAAGTCATGCATGCTAAATGAGTAGATCAATGTATTCCACATAAAAATATCATTCATTGAACCAAGAATGAGTGAAGCTGTAGGTGGATGTTTAGGATTTTGGGTTCAAACCTTACAATAACAGGATCGACTGTATTCTGACAACTAAAACAATTTAACTGTCATTACAAAAGCCAGGTACACACTGCGTTAGCTGGGTTGTATGACCGCCAGATGACAAATTTTTCTCTGCTGTCTGTGAGCACTAGATGACATTATGGCAGTAGTAGATCTTCCTAAAAAAGGATTTGTTGTGCACATCTCATTGCCCTGCGTTGTACATGGAATAGTGACGGTTAAAGACCATCGGTGCAGTTTGTGCCTGGCTTAAGGCCTGTTTACACTATTACGATAACGATCAATGATAAGAAGCTAAGAAGCAATTGTTCATATAGAAAATAAAATCAATAAGAGACGTTCTCACACTAGCACAATTTGATAACAATTTATCTTGTATACGATAACAAAATAATTTCACAGATCAAATCAAATTATGTCACAATCATAGGAAAACGATAAAATCGTTTTTACTAACTACGATTTTATCATTTTCCCATGATTATCATGCCATTTGATTTGATTTGTGAAAATAATTTTTAATTTTCTACTGTACACGGTTAATCGTTATCGAATCGTGCTAATGTGAAATTTCTCTTATTTTATTTTTTATATGAACAATTGCTTTTTATCGTTGATATATTGTCATAGTGTAAACAGACCTTTACGGTTCATAATTAGATTGGAAATACATTTTATACTAAAGTGATAGGTTACTTTTGGTCTTCTACATGAAACAACTTAAACAACATTGTAAAAGCATCTCAAACAAGAATGTAATAGGACCAGCATGAGATCTGAACTTCTCCCTCTACATTGAGGATACACCTTACCATATTCGCACATCTGATGAATTTACTTTTCCTCTTCACCATGAACATTTTTACCACCTTGCGTGTTTATAAAAATTTTCATGTATTTTTATTGTTAGTTTTTTTTAATAATGCAGTTTTTTTATATTAATGTAAATGTACAAAAATTATATTGTGTTTTATTGTATCTACTATGGAAGTTCTCAATACAAAATCAATAATCATATCTTATCAAATTGCTTTGTATAATAATATTAAATAAAGTGTATATTCATTATCTTGCAAGTTTTCAGTACAAATAGAAGATGCATTTGCACAATTCCATTTTATATTTTGAGTGGATATAAACTGGTGGATAAAAATTAAATATTTAAAAAATTAATAAAATAATTGGATGGCTCATTTTTGACAGTTCAAGTCCACCAGCACCAGCAGAGTTAATGGACTTACAGGTGGAATATTGGCCGATGTTTTCCGGCATGAAAAAGGACAAGTCATCTTTGAAAACAACCTTTCGTTCATTGATTGTCAATCGCTTGTCAAGCTCCAAGGGGCAATCAGATTCATCGCTCTCTATGACTGTAGTTACTAGAGAGAGGAACAAGAAATCAAAACAAGGTTTGTTCATTTTTGTAAACTTAACAAATACTTTTTCTCCTCATTCTCCACTGCTGCCGCCTCCTTCGCTGGGTACTGCCACCTCCATTGCCTTCACCTCCTCCTGACATTCCCCCTTGATTTAAATCAGCTCTCTTTATTATCACTTTTTTCTTGATTTGTATATGTTACTTACAGCAATACTTTCCTCTATTTTACAGTGATGCGTATCGGTAAGAAACACAAAGACTCGGAGAAGAGTCAGGTAATTGATGGAATCTATCGATTGGTGTGCACATCAAAGTCACAGAGTAATTCCCTTACAGGTACTTTATATTTGCAATTTATTATTTATATACAGATAATGTTAATTGTAAACATACATCTATATATTCATTAAGTAGACTTACTTTTTCCAATTATTGTGATGGTGGTTATTATCATTATCAATATCATTGATAATCATGATGGTAATAATCATCATCATTATCAATTACTATCTTCATGGCAGGATTCTTCATCAACATTTCACTCTAGATTCTATACCATTAATTAGAGACATGTACTTGTGTTTTCTTAAGATTAATGTGTCATGGAACCTCATTGTGAATCCTAAGTATACTGAAGCAACATACCATTTGTCTGAAAGATTAAAATTTAGGAAGAAGGACACTTATGGAGATATTGAAACTGATGAGAATGTAGAATGTGTTGCACATTTTTCAAATGTGTTAGTACTTAATTTTTAGTGTCATTAATAATAATAATAATAATAATAATGATAATTTATTGACGCTGTCGGACATCATTTACATCAGCGGCACTCAAGTGGTGCATCAATCGAGAAAAAACTTAACTAGAAAAAAATAAAATACATTATCTCCTGTTAAAAGCTGAGAAAAATTCTTTTAAATCGTGTTGTTAACATGCTTAAGATTTTTGCTTGTTTTGTCTTCTAGTCAACATTGATGGGAATGAATTAACTGGAGTGAAGTTTTTCCAGTTGACGGCACAAACACATAGTCACATCAAGCAGTTCCCAGTAATTGTGTTTGCTGAATCTTGACCAATGGCCGATGGCTAAGTTGATACTTGGTCCTTTTTAAAAGAACGACCAAATACCATTTAGATGGATGCTTTTAGTAGTAAATGAAATTAATGGAGAAACGATTGGTCAGTTGATGATGTCAAGATGAAGAAAGTTTAATGAAACATGGCTGACCTTTAAAAGGCTTTATGCTGAGCCCAACTAGGCTGTCCAGCCCACAGAGACTCTTTAAGGGCTTTCTGAGGATGGGGAAAGACCTTTAAAAGAGGGCAAGATCTTCATTAAGGACCCTGAAGGTTTTGGCTATGTCGAGACAAAATGTATATCGCCATTACCGTCCTATTTTAAATGACACCGCTGCACTTCTACTACTGGAGTGAATTCAGTAGAGACTGATCTTTTAAAACAATTTTGGGCATTATTGTTGGAGAAAGGATGAGTTATTGATTGATGTCAGTCAAAACAATTGTATGCCAGTCAATGGAGAAATGAAATGGAATCGGACTTATAAGCTTTTATGGTAATAAAGAAGAAATGCTAAATCATTACTGTGGCTATTAAGTGGCAAATCTTACTTGATAAATGTCCTTTTCAAATGCATGATATGTGGCCAGTATACAGTGAGGTGATGTAATATGTCGTAACTGAATAAACATAGTAGGATGTTTACATTCAGCAGGATTAAACAGGTGAATGCAGGCTCAACAAAAGTATGGCAACCCTCAAAGCACAAGCAATACACGTTGCAACAAGTTCTGCTCTAATCTTGAAAGCAGATTTTGAATTCAAGTTGAATCCCATGTAAAATATCACATGTCTGCTGCCTTGAATTGAACAATAAATAAAATTGTTAATAAATAATTGAAAGATAGCAACATGGTGCTAGAAATTGCTATATTTCGTACTCCCCTCCTCCAAGCTTTCCACATGCTTCTGTTCAACCTATATACCAAATCTTATACACATCTATATAATATAACGTAACAGTAAAGAAACTCAAATACGTAAGATGTTGACTTTAACATCTTACGTATATGAGTTTCTTTACTGTTACGTTATATTATATTCTACATTTGTTTCGAAACACACGTGGACACGCCTTCTTCATATATATATATATATATATATATATGTATATGTATATATATATGTATGTATGAAGGTATGAACAGGAAATATGTATAAATAAAATAATTATACAATGTGTGTATATAGGCAGACATATCCATGTAGGGTGTAATATATAGTAGAACTTGTTAGTTTGTAGAAAGTTTTTTTATTGAAAGTTGTAATGTGGGATCATGGCTTTTAAAGTAAGCCTACATTTAGCTGTCAAGTTTTAACCAAGTATACAATACAAATTATAACCTCTATCAATTCACCTCCATCTATGAGTCTGTTGATAACTTACATTTGCTGGACAGTTAAACCTAATAATGGACATGTACCATATAAGTGACTATTTGTTCATAATTTTTATGAGCTAAGCAAGGGATTCGCATTAATGTTGGAGCCATCCTCTTGAAATATTGCTGAACAGATCTGGACATAGCACACATTGTAATAATCCACGTAATTCTTCTAATCTCATATTATTATCCTTTGCTAAGACCTCATATAAATACTAGAGTGAGACTGCTGCTAAGCCCTGCCCTATGGACATTGTTCCTAAGGTCCCACAAAACAATAGCATTGACATACCCAAACATGTGTGTTCACGGAACAACACGCCTGCTTTTGGGACTGTCACATAATCCCAGCTTGGAAAGGTCCATTATTTTAATTATCAACATAATCATTATATCAGTACCAGATATATTAACATATGTTATTATTTTCAGTGTAATGTAATGATATTTTCAGACCAAATTTTCTAGTACAAATCAAAAAAGTGATAATGGTAGAGTTCTTTATGCAGCGTGACTCTTGAATTGTAATACGTTTATATTTTATAATCCTGAGGAGAGCGAGTCATTTTTCCAATCTATTCCAAAACAGTGTAGATATTGGAGGAGGGGAAGGGGAACTTGAATATCTTCATTTGACAAATGGGCCAAATTATGACCTTAAGTGGTACTAGAATTTTGGTAATTAATGTAACTCTTGTTACAATATATCAGCTATGAGGCAATATACAGTATTGATCACAGTTCTGGAATGCTGGCTTCTTCATTAATTAAAAGTGTCAGTCAGTAAACAGTGGAATTACAGGGTAGAAACTAGTAAATTACTATTGCAATTCTTCCTTTAAATATTTTGTTAACAATCAATAATCAGTTTAATTGTTGATTAAACAATTTAGACAAAAAGTATATTATAATATTGGTGGTTGTTGGCAACTATTTATAACAGGACTGAGTTCAAACATTTAGCAGTCGCATGGACATGGCATGTAATTGTGGGATCATAGAAACACTTACGTGAGCTGCTGCTAATGTGTGTATAGATTATTGTTAGATTTATTCAGCCAATGGGATTAAAGTATAAAAAGTACATAAGAACATAAATGCTTACTTGATCAAAGTAATTATTTCATTGCTCTTTTTTTCTAATGCATGTGGAATATGTGAATGCACAAATTTGAAAGTATGCCGCAGATAGAGGCCGTATTTTTGTCAAAATGCAGGGGTGCTTGGTAAAGTCTTTTTAAAAATATTCCAACCAAAGATGACTTTGGTGCATTGTGTATTTTGTGAAAAAAAAAAGAATAGAATTGGTTATAGAATATAAGCAGTGACCATATTTGCCTTTAATTGTTGTGATTCTGCGAAAATTAGAAATGGTTAATATGAAAATTATATGTGTGTTGTGGGTGCAGGGGTATCATACAGAGAGGGTCTTAGATGGTGCAAATTTTGGATTATCACTACCGGTATTAAACTTAAGTAAGCTGTATAGTTGTCCATATAATAAATGCAGCAGATATATATTTTATTCTTATAAGAAAAATGTCTGTTTATGGGGCAATGTTGAAATATGTTGTCCCAGGGTGTTCCTGTAATACATGAAATATTGTTACATTCATTAAGTTAATAGCATAATCTTAGAATAATAGCAGAATATATGATTCTTGGTAAACTTTACCTTTACAAAGGATATGTAATTTTTAAAAGTAAGTATTATAAATCTCAATCACTTTTTTCTGCTAATATATACTTGGCCTTTTAAAAATAAGTAGTTTCTTATCCATGTACCCTTTCTTTTTGTTGCTGCCATCCTAATCATTCATCCTCGGCATTGAAATCCTTCATGGATGGTGGAATAACTAATACTAATGCTGGTAATAAGCCCCCTTTACTTTGTAGTGTGTAGATCAAGCTTGCTGGGACTTGAAGAAGATGATGACCAAAAAAGACCTCCACTTTCTCCTTTTTTGAAAATGTTTGGATGAGAAACTCATTTTTTTAGCTTGGCCCTGTGTATCTTAATTATTTGACAAAGGCAACTGAGTTTTACAATTTGACCAAATGAATTTTTGGATAATGATTGCGGAATGTTACTATTGCAGTAGAACGTTCTGCTAACACCTGCTCCTCGCATATTGTTGCTTCAAAATGTCAGCTTAAATGTTAATGTTTATGGGGCATGTGTGTATTTCTGGCTGTTAAATAATACATTCTGATAGGTCTGTTAACATTGTCTGACACTCTGAAAGGTCCATTGATTGTTTGTGTCAATTTACTCTCTGTATTGTTCTCATAATGGTCGTGTTATCCTATGTTATTTTGATCTACTAGTCAGAAGTCAATGCAATTTGAGCTGGTGGTTGATAAAGAGAAATAAATAGCAAACATTCACTAATTGACGCTTGGGTGCACATTGAGGTACCATTCATCTTAGAATCACATTTATATTTAATTTGTTTCATTACTGTGTGTGCTTGGACTTGCTGAATAGTATTTCCATAAAGTTAAATCTGTTGATTTGAGAGTGTGCCACATGTATAAAAATTGTATGTAATGATGTTTACTCTATAGTAATACATTTTTGCTGTTTCATTGAACATTCTATTAACCATCAGCTCAAAATTACTCTTATGATGTGTACCTTGTCTTCCATAACTGTATCACAGTGAGTTATTAGTAGCAAGGGACCCAATCTCTGTTAAAAAAAAAATGTATAACTTTTAATATGGAATGGATGGGCCATTTCAACCCTAAGTATAGGTGTTCTGAAAATATAGTGCAGTAAAACATTAGTATATATATATTGTATTTTGCGCAAATTTTTGGTCTGTTTGGACCCAGTTGGGCTTAGTCGTATCATCGTCTAACCCAATCAGTTCGTAGCTGCGGTTCCGCATAATCTTTTACATAATAATATACAGAGTAGTTATTCATGAACACGGTAGAAAAAAATGTAAGCCTGTAATAATGCAGTGTACTATCATATGCCTTCATGGTTTGATACGTTTTTAAGATGCTATTAATGTCATCCTAAATTCAGTGACAAATAAAAACATGGTTTATGAGCATATAAATAAACTGTACTACATTAGGCTGAAGTTATTCACTTTGAATAACCTCATCAATGAATTAATTGTTAATATAAAAGTTCATAAGTGTTGCTGATGCATTAAATCTTGATTCTTGTTAATTTTTAGTTACAATTGTAAAGCATTGTTTTCAAATGAACTGTTAAATAATTAGAGGGATTGTTGATGTACATAATATTCAATCCATCTTCCATAAGCCCTGCCAGTGTGTAATTACTAATATTTTCCACTGACGTAGGTCTATGGTAAACTTTTAAAATAATTTAAATTAATATTGTATTGTATTGCAGTAGGTTAAAAAAAAAACACCAATGAACTTTGTGGCCATTGGTACAACCGAACCAGTTTTAGACATCTTGTGAAATATGGACAATAATATATTAATTATATCTCAAAATTAAAGATTGCCACTACATGATAGTGGTAATTTTTTTAATGTGTATAACTATGTAATTAGCAATTTAATTTTTAATAGTTGCAAAATTATATTATTTCCCAAAAATGTAATTTAAAATTAAATCTTGATTTTTAAGGAGTACTGCAATCCTCTTATTTTTATTTTTATTTTTTATTTTTGCAGTTCATTTTTAATTGCTGCTTGTATAAACTGTAAATTTTGTTACATCAAATAATTCATTTATTTTCACAGATATTTGCAAACCAGCTGGTCTGGTAGTTTAAGGTTTCAACAATTAAAAACAACCAGTTCAGTTTCAATAGTTATTTTTTTCTGAAATATATAACTTGCTCAAAATAGTTTCTCCCCCCCCCCCCATACTCCTCTGAGTTGGTTAATCAACTAAGGTCAATTATATATTTTTTTTTATGTCATTAAATAAATATAGTATTTCATTAATGTGGATTTAATAGAAATCTCGCCAGTAAAACATTTTTATACCAAATATTCAAGGGATTCAAATTTGTTATTCTTATGTATATATTTCAAGTTTATGACAAAAAGAAAATCCACAAACAATAAAGTGGCAAGATATGTATCTTAATAAGTGAATTATTTTTGTATGGTCTTAATGGCATGGGACCTTAAGTAGATGTCCTGTTTGCAAGATCATTAAGTTTACCTGCATTGTGTAAATTTCCCTGCTAGAGTACCATCCCCTATGCGTTTATAATTGCATATGTTTTCATATTTTTGTACTTAAAAATGATGAGTTTAGTTTCTTGTTAACATAATGTGCTTGTGTAGCCTTGTGTTGGATAGTGCTGAGGCTGTAAGATGACGATATCTATCTTGTATATGCCGCTCATATTTTACTTCTAGTCATCAGTATTGTTTACATATATTGTTATAAGTGTTTTGATGTGCTTCCAATGTTTAATGTACTGCATGTCTATCTGGAATGTTTTGTTACAAGTGTCTTTTATTCTAACGTAAATCTATCATAATAAAGCAGTAACCTATGATTTCTGTGTCTCGGTTTCTTTCTTCACATTGTTTATTT